AACAAAAAAAAAACAACAAAAAAAACATTTTAAGAAAATATTAAATCACTGTCAATTAGTGACTAATGAGCATATAATATTATCCTCCTTTCCCTCAGAATAAGATATTTTCTTACTTTTAAATTATAACATCTGAACTGTTGGTAGTTTAATATCCACTAATTTTGTTTAAAAAATATTGCTTCAAACCAGTATTCTGATCTTTTATACTGCTGACACAAAGCTCCAACATTTAAGGATAAATTGTTAACTTTTTAAAATTTAAATAATGCCAGTCAAAATGCTTTACTAAAGAATGAAAAATGAGGTTGTCAAATCATGGGGATCTATGGAAAGATGACAGAAGATAGTCTGGGCATGAACGTCCAGCATCTGCCAGTTTGAGGAAGAGCATTCATTCTGGAATGGCAATTGAGTGACTTCAATGCCTTAAACATAGCAAGTTATCATTAGAATTGCAGGTGATTAATGTATGGCTCTTATTTTACTATAGAATTCTTTTCATGTTCTCATCTATATGCTCAATGGCATAAGACTCCACATTTTGACAGGTGGAGGTCATCAGATTACATATTGTTTTGACTATCCTCCTGAAAGGCAATTAACATGCTGTTATGTTCAGAAATCCAGTATCCTCCTGCAGAGAACAAGGCAACAAGTTCTCATCCACAATTGTCACATGGCTTTGTACCATGGTCAGAGTCAAGCTGTGTTACAGAAGATACCCAGCCACAGAAGTTTTCCTAGGCTTTCAACTCTGAGTAGTCAGCCACTTGCCATTTAAATCCTTTTGCAGTTGGTGGCCCTGGAAGACATGCAGGTGCTCCAAACCCCTGACAGTCTGCCCCTTCATTGTAGGTTGTAGTTATTAGACTTCAAAGATCAACAGTTGAGGCTGACCTGGTGGAACACGAGGAATGACCTGAGTTGGGTTTGGATTTAGGTAGGATGTGGGCCATAGGTGTGGATAAAGCAGGAGAAGCTAAACTGGGGGCAGATGAGGTTAGAACTGGAAGGTTGGTCTGGTTTCACCAGAGCAGAAAAATTGGTTTACTTTGTTACTAATCAAAAGCAAGGGAGACTTCTCTGAAATTTGTTTGGGGGCTTGGAATCTAAAAGTTCTGTTTCTAGATGTAAGCATTTCTCCTAGCCTTAAATTAGATGTGTCGTGTTTTGTACGGAAATGAAACTAAATGGAATCTTTCATGGTTTAAATTTCTTTCCTCAAATAGGGATAAGCTGATGTTTTTATTGCTAAACATTTGAGAACTTAAAAGTTGAAAGATGTAACTATTTTTATATCATACTTTGGTGCATGAAATGCCTTTATATACAAACTTTCCCAAATTTTCTTTCCAGCTTAAGGTTCATGGTAGTTTTGATCCAAGAAAACCAGATGCCTTCGTGAGGACAGCTTCCTCATTTGAAGGCCATGAACATCACAAATTTCTTTCTTTTTTAAAAAAATAAATTAAGAGGAAATACCGGGATAGTTTGTTTGAGGAGGGGGTGTAAGAATCTTGGAAAAGGAATAATTTACTCAATGATCATTCCTATTCTTGGCTATTAAATGATGTATAGTTGGGTTTATAGTACAAAACCTGAGTAAAACAATTTGAGATTCCTAACCCTTTCCTAAAAAGGGTCTGGCTAAGTAAATATACCCATCTAATTATGTGTAAGAATTTGGCTCCATTTAAAACAATATTTGCTATTTTAATACACATTAAAGAAAATGTAACAATTACTATGAGTGTAAATACACCTTACATATACCACTGACCAGAGCCTCAAAAACCTTAGCTGAAAGGATGAAAATGAAAAAAAAATAGGCTTGTTTTCTGAGCTAAGTAGGTAGGCACTTCTAATCTATGTAACCTTTAAATTCAAATGCCTTATGTGTACTTTTTTGTTAAGCTATAGAATTTATATCTTTTACTAGTAAAGATATGTAAACTGTAACAATAAGAAGAAAAGCCGGTGATTCTGGGAAACTGGATGCATAAGATGTTATGTAACCAACCGGTTTCCAACCTTTAAATCAGACACTAGTCAAGGAAATAATAATAACCTTAGCCAATGGGAAAAACATCCAGCCAGATTTCTCCCAGCTGTGTTTCTCCCTTCTGTGGCCTTCAGTAACTTCAATGGAAGTTTAGTGTGTTTAGGGAGAAAGATGGCCAGAAGAATCAAAATTATTAAACCAAAAAGGTCAATCTTCAAATTAAGTCTTGGACCAGGCTCACTGCAAGAATAAGGTTGATCCCTTCCAATGTCCCAGTACTATAAGCAATATGGCTGACCAACCACAACTCAAATGGGGCTGATATCACAGGTTATTCTGCCAAAGGGGTGAGTGAAGGAAAAACAGTTGCTGGCTTTGAAATGTACAAATCAAGCTATTAGTGTTTCCTTAGCATTCCTTTTGATTTCCAACTTGAGCTTACAGTGACTGACTGCAAGAGATAGGAAAAAATCCTCTGAGAAGACAGGTCCTTGGATTCAATTCCATATAAACAGAGGGCCAAGGAATTTTGACAAAATTTTTGCTCACAAAAAGTTGACTTTGCCTTTGAAGTTCTTGTGTGTTCCATATTTAAAGTCAGACACCTTCATTCATCCAACAGTAGCACAAGGCCTTCAATAATATGATATAATGGCTTTATTTTTTTCAGATTAAAAAAGGTCTTTCATAAGGTCCCTCTCCATTCTGTTATAAAATCATCAGCTAATATGTTTTCAAGGATTTTCCAGGTAAATAACCTGTGTTACCTTCAACTTTCAGGTCTAGCTGGCCTGGTGTAATTTTTTTAATGGCCACAGAGGTACTAAGAGTGGTTTAAATCAATTCCTACTAAAAAAGAATGGAGTGCATGGCATTCCTACTAACACATTAAGGGAAAAGCTATTTAACTCACTTTTATCCGTAATATTTAAATAAAATGTGTTAATATTGTCCCTTATTTTCTTCCCAGTTAGTCACTTAGACCCAAGGAGATAAAATATTACAGTATTGGTCAACACATCAATGAAAATATTGACATAATTTCTCAATACCCCCAGTATTACTATAGTGTAATATAGGTTCTGAGAAACACCAGGATTGTGAGCTGCTCCTTCAAAAAGGGCTATTCCCACTAAACCCCACAGTGCTCATTAGCACATTAACGGCTTGAAGTCCTGAGGTTAGACAAAACAAAACCAAACCTGTTTAATGTTGTCTAATGCAGAGTTTCTCAAGCTAGCCTGAACACATCACTCCTTTTTCATGCAATTCCTAATGCCAAATAAACTTTGGGTCATGCATAGCTGTTTGTGTCTCTTTTTTCCCTCTTAGCGCAATGACTGCCCCATAGTAGGAACTCAATAAAAGATTTTTGTCATGAATAAATGGTAAAACTCATGGTTGTACTCTCAGAGCTTATGGAGATTGTATTATGTAATCTTTTGAGACAAAGATCTCTGTTCTCTGTAGTAGCCTTTCCAATCAAGTTCATAAACAAAGAGTGTCATTTGCTCTGGACATTCAAATATAGTAAGTTAGTACGACATGGTGGTGGAAATAGAAGCATCTTCACAAATATGAGAATAAGCAAATACGCTTTAAAGAGCACAAATGTAATTACGAAGGCATTGCTTTATTGCCCTTGTCTCTATGAAGAATTTTCCATCATGACCCAGTGGGATTTAGCTCCTGGTTGTTTTACCTTTCATTAGCATCATTAGAAATCTTTCTCCACTGGTAGATTAGCATGTAAAGAGCATAAGTTCTTAAAAACACTTTGATGTCAAAGAAGGCTGAGATGCTGAAGTAGATAGTACCGAATTATGAGAGAACCCTTGCGGAGTAAATCTCATGACACAGGAGTCTGGGAACTTTGAGTCTGGTGAGAGTAAAACCAGTGATGGTCCAGAATATGACAAAGTGATTGCAGTGAGATATTTGGCCACAAAAAGATAAATAAATAAGTTGTGCTATGAATTCTTTACAGTGTTCTACAATTCAGGTATCACTTGTAAATTCTTTATTGCTATTAAAAATGGATGATTGGGAATAAAATTTTAAGATACTGCATGTACTAACAGACTGCTGGGATGATGAATGTAACAATCCTGAGCATTTATAAAGCAGACCGTCTGGTATTATATATGCATATCTCCATGACATGTTATAACACATGATAATTTATTAGGGAGCAAGCATTTTTAAAAATCGATTGTATATAAACACTCCCTGAGTCGAAAGTGCTGACAACTTCTGCCTCGAGGGGAACTCATTTCCCTCCTGTTTGGCCAGTAATTATTAAAACATCCCAATTATATATCCAAATTTTGGTTCAAAAACTGGCTGACCATGCCTGAAAAAGGAAAATGCAAAGTGAAAAATATCTCTCTTTCTCGGCTGGTATAAGTTGCCAATAAGTTAGTTGTATGCCATTCATGAGCTGATATTACTTGGATTAGTTTAACTTCTATAATTTCCAAAGATCAAGTATAGTGTTATTTTAGTCAGTGTTTGGCAATGCTAAAGAGCAGAAGCTGTAGATACGTCTGCTTGATAATCCAGGCCAGACTGCAACAAGGACAGATATGCTATTATTTGTGAAACACTCATGTAGAGCAACGAATTACATTTTGCTTTTTTTGCTTTCATATTCCTCCTTTTTAGACTGTGGACTTGTCCCATCCATTGGTAAACTGCTGGCATCTTCCTTGATTGAAGGTGAATCTGGAGTAACTGTTCTTTTGGTAAATGCTGGAAAGGCAAGAGAAAAGACAAAAATAAACCTAAATGAATAAAATCCTTGGGCTGACAAAATTGTAAGTAATCATTGTATCTGATCTAGTTTTTTGTAAACTTTACAAGGACTAACAGACCTTCAGTGTAGGAATAAACGTAATAAGTTCACTGTATTTTGGAAAACATTTATTCATATGATTTAATTTGGGAGGGATCTGAAGAGTATCTGAGAATGGAAGATGTATGTTTGGTCAATATATAACAATACAAAGCACACACAGAATTTTGGAGGGAGAAATGTTAAGGGCCTTCTTTTCACAGAATCTTCTTTGTTACACAAACTGAGACTAGATCTGGAATCTAGGTTTACTGTTTTTCTACTACCTACTTACCTCCCTTCTGAGCTCCAGATAGGCATGTCCAACTCCTACGGGAAATCTGCCTGCCTCATTTCTAATCTCTGATACCTGCCATTCCTTCTTTTCTCCTTCTTAGGAAGTGATATACTCCTCCCCTCCAACCCTGGTTTCTCAAACCTTAGTTCCCTCCTTCCTTTGTCCTGTCTGCTCTCCCCAGCCAACTTAAGAGTAAATACTGAAGATTCTCCCTCCCAAATTCACCCTAGTTCTCAGGCTTCACACCATCTCCATTACTATCGCCTCAGCCCAAGCCACCATTTTCTCTCTTCCCATTTTCACTGTATCCCCTTCCCCACACCACCACAACCAGAATTATCTTCCCAAAAGGTAAATCAGATTATGTCACTCTCCCACATAACCCATCACCTCCATCCTCCAACAGCCTCCCAGGAGACTTAGAATGAAATCCAAACACGGGACTGTGGCAAAAAGGCTCCGTGGAACTTTACCTTTCCTTTCTCTCTCCCCCAGACCCCCTTACTCAATGCTCCAACTCTCTAGAAGACCATGCCCCTTTTCTTCTCTGTGGCCTTCATATTTATTGCTCCCTCTCTCAGGAAAACTCTTCCCACCCAATTTCAGCTCAGCTGGTTCTTGCCACTCAGGCTCCAGCTCAGCTGTAACCTCCTTGAAAAGGACTCTCCTAATCACGGATCTAAAGCAGTCCTGTTTTCCAGGCGCTTTCCTCTCATTTTACCTTCACAGCACCAATCACCATTTTAAATTGTTTACTTGCCACCACCTGTTTCTTCTATGAGAGAGGTGACCACTTCTGTCTTGCTCACTACTGTATACCCCCCAAGCCAAACAGAGAGCCTCTTACATAACCTCTTAGTAAATATTATTTGAAGAAGTGAATATACTTATGGGATCTTTAAGAGACAGTCAACTGGCGATTTTCTGGCTGCTTTCTAGACAGCATCTACAGAGTACCCCGTACATCATTATAATCAGAAGTCAGTTATTTAAAAATATCTGACACCGGACTAGTTAGTGAAAAGATTGTCTCACCTACAAAAATCACCATCACATAAAATGAACCTATAAAATGGAGAGACAAAAAAGTTGTGCTTCCATGAAATAAATCTTTTAATGGACAAGAAACTTTTTTTTACCTTTATCAGTACCCCCACATTTAAAAAAAATGTTTACTTATTTATTTTGAGAGAGAGAGAGAGAGAGCATTCAAGCAGGGGAGGGGTAGAGACAGTGGGAGAGGGAGAATGCCAGGCAGGCTCCACACTCTCAGCACAGAGCTCGACGTGATGTGGGACTCCATCTCACAAACTGTGAGATCAACCTGAGCTAAAGTCGGTAGCTTAACAGACTGAGCCACCCAGGCACCCAGTAACCCCACATTGTTAATACCACAGATCTTTGGTATTTTATTCTGCAAGGCTGAGGACAGACTACATATGAGGCAGTTCACAGTTAGCCAGTGGATCCTGAAGTACAACACAGAAGTGAAAAGAGTGTGCTTTTCTTGCTGTAGATAAATTGTTTTTCATTGGAGGGACTTAAACTCCCACTAAAGGCATCTCAAAACGCAAACTGAGAATAATAACTTTTCTTTTCATAGCAATGTAAACTGAAGTAAGAAAGCGAGAGATAGTTCCTTTTAGCAACTTTCATTGATTTGCTTTTTTAAGAATATCAAGTTAAATTAATATGTAAGATTCACAACAAAATCCTGTAACATTCCCCCCCTCCCCCATGAAAAATCATAGTCCTTTCTTTTGGGGTTTGTTTATTTTAATAAACATTATTTATAACAGTTTTAGAATTCCAGAAAATTTGAAATCTGCATTTATTTTTAAAATTTAGTACCAACTCCACACACATTAGGCATTTTAATCTCAAAGGACTCGAGATTTCGAGAAATCATCAGATTACTATAGTCCTCCCTCAAATCCAGTCTAGTCCTGGCCCCAAGAGTAAGGGCCCTGTCTTGAGAGCTGTGTTCCTTTAGCCTAAAAGGAGCTATACATGGAGACTAGTGGTCAGTCACTACTTATAAAAAGTAAAAATGACAGTTTCAAAAGCTGGCATTATTAAGTCTCTCTTTCTAAGCCCCCACTGTCCTAGAGGCTGAAGGTAATGGAATCCAAGCCTTCTAAAAGAGTGTCCTGAACCACGGCCATCACTTGTAGCCAGCCAGGATAAATTTGGTAGTAATCATGGCTCTAAATAATGGATTTCTGTGTTCCTATTTCCAATGGTAATACAAACTTACAATTTATACATTTCTTCCCTTCTTCCTGGCAGAAGGAATCCACCTTTTCTTGAATTGACCTGAACTACACAAAGCTGACATAAATTACTACTTAAAACAAACTTTCATTAATGCTGGATCCTTTCAGAGACCACAAATTATGCAGTATTTTCCCATTTCCTTTGTTTTTTCCATGGTCAGTGATTCTATGCTTTAGTTTGGTCACAGTTTGACAGGGCACCTAAGTCAGCAGAACGAATGCCTTAGCATCTACGGCATAGACAAAAGGGCCTCATCCAGTACAAATCCCAACTTGAGTAAGAAGGAGCCTGTTCTGTGGGCTCATAAACTCATGTCTGCCTCAGCACCTACAGTTATTTACTCCTTACATCTCTATACAGGTCTAAACTGCTCTAAACTCCAACCCCCAGCTTTCATGTTCCATTTAGAAGTTAACAAGAAAATCGAATACTTGCTAGTCAGACATAAAAGCTGGGTGTTCTCAGTAGCATTTTATTTTTACAAGATGCCTTTTTAGCCAAAGTGTACATACACCTATCAAACAGCACCAAAGGGCCACACAGGAAGACAGCGGCCTCTTCCCTCCTCCCTCCCAATCCCACAATCCTGCACCCCAGAGTCAACCACAATCAACTCTTTTAGCTTTATTTTCTGTATTTACTTCAATTTTTGTAAGAAAAAGCAGCTTATATTGCTATTTTCTGATTTATCATTTTTAGACTTATTCACACCCATCCACTTCCCTTCACCCCATCCTCCTTATATAGTTACATTTGAACTTCTAGTTGTGTCAGTAGTATTTATAATATCATGACTACGTAAACATGGCTCACACAAACCTAATAAGTATACTATGACAATGTTTCTTTTCTTGCCCATTTTTCCCCCCTGGAGTTATTATTTGACCTATGTTTTTATTTTTGTTTTTTTTTATTTGCTCTTTCTCTGAGACTATCATTAATTATTTCTAATTGCTCAATGAGATCTGCCATATGTCTTTCAGTAGTTTTTCTTCTAAGTGCTCAACTGAATCAAATAACCTAACAGTTTGTTTATTTCCTAAAGATTTTCCTGATGGAATCTTTCCTTTTTTCTATCAATCTGAGAGAACTGAACATGAGTGTCCAGATTAAAAGGGCCCACCCATCAAATAGCTAGAAAGGCAAATAAAGTAAGACCTGCAGGGAGGCAAATCATCACAAAACTCACTGCAGTTAAACAAGAGATCCTAAAAGGTCCCAGGGCTGGGGGTTGGGTGGTAGTGATGGTGGAGAAGATCGCTTCTGAGGAGTGGGGTCAAAAGAAAAAGACAATATTTTTCAACAGCAATTTAGATTTTGGAAGAGAATACTACAATGACTTCAGAAGGAAAGTCATTTTCAACCCAGAATTTTATAGCTAGCCAAAGTCTCGTCAAGGGTGAATAGAAGAAATCTATTTTCCGAAGTACAAAGAATGAAAGCAGTTACCTCCCTTTTCTTTCTTTGATGTGCTAACCACAAAAGAAAGAACTGAGACAAACAGAGGAAGGCATGTGTTCTGAGAAACTTGGGCATCAGCACAAGAAGAGGGTGAAGAAAAATCTCAGGATGACAGTTGGGTGGGCCTTTCTAACCTTCCTACTCCAGGCTGTTGTTTTCTCCTCTCAAGACCCTCATTAACCAGGTACTATTCTTCTGGAATGGATTTTCTAAATATCTTTTCTTTCCTACGGTCCCATTCTTTTTCTTCTATTTTCTTTGTGGTTTCAACTTTGTTTTCCACCTTTCTGGTTTTTCATATTTTAAATTTCTTTTTGAGTTGGGGGAGAGGGGCAGAGGGAGACAGAGAGAATCTCAAGCAGGCTCCATGCTCAGTGCAAAGCCCAACATGGGGCTTGATCCCACAACTCTGGCATTATGACCTAGCTGAAATCAAGAGTTAGATTCTCAACTGAGCCACCCAGGTGTTCCCATATTTTAAATTTCTGAGACCTCTTATATTGTGTTCCTTTTTCATAGCATCTTGTTCTTCTTTTTAATGGATGTAATATTTTCTATCTCTGAGGACATTAATGCTATTTTAAAAGACACATTCTGTTCTCTGTGTGATCAATTTATTATAGGCTCATTTTTCTCTTTGTTGGTCTTGAGATCTCTCCTCTTCAATTTTGGAGGTTTAAAAGGAGGTTAAAGAAAAATTATAGGACAATTTCTATAACTAAGCTGAAACTGTGCTATAAAAATGGAGAAGCATTCAGGGTGATCTAAAATAATACCACATTGTGAAACACACAGAAATTTCAAAGTTCATCACAAAAATAAATAAGAAGAACTATGATTTCTAGAAATAAATTCAATTCAACCACTGAAAGTTATTAACAATAAGGCACCTATGATTAAATTTTTAAAAGTATTCTTGAAACCATGCAGGTAGGAAGAGAGGAAAATCATAAAACAGGCTTGTCAAAAAGAGGAATAGTAAAGCATAAAAGTATAAATTAATAAATTGGGGTGCCTGGGTGACTTGGCCGGTTAAGCGTCCGACTTCGGCTCAGGTCATGATCTCATGGTCTGTGAGTTCGAGCCCTGCGTCGGGCTCTGTGCTGACGGCTCAGAGCCTGGACCCTGTTTCAGATTCTGTGTCTCTCTCTCTGCCCCTCCCCTGTTCATGCTCTGTCTCTCTCTGTCTCAAAAATAAATAAATGTTTAAAAAACATAAATTAATAAATTAACTAAATAAGTTAACAATAAGTTAATGAAGAGGTTTACTTTTTAAGCTAAATTTTTCAGTCAGAATTTACAATAGAGACTATAATATGTATTTTCATATCCAAGTTATGTATTCAATGATATTTTTTCCCATTCTTATTTAACTTTACTTCCTTTTGAGCCAGTATATTTATATAAAACCTATGGCTTCCTGTGAGGAATATCTCACAGAGAAATGACCACCACTGGTCTTGAAATGCTACTGAGTAAAAAGCTGGATGTAGTTTCTTTCACTGCCTGTCATAATATTTAATAAAATCTAAAAATCTTGATGTTTTCCCACAAGGTCTCCCAACCACTACTTTCTAGGTGCCTTTCCATGGAGTCTTAGGAAAGTCATCATGGTGAAATTAAATAGCAGAATACTGACCTCTGTGCTCATATCATGGTGCTGATTTATCTCCAAGCTCCTGAATGTCTTAATGGGTGGGATACTATGATGTTTGCTGGTGCTTTGTCCCTACTCTCCTCTCCTCCATGTTTATGTACATGAAACAGACCTGAGGAAAATTTTCCATTTCTTTATATGAAACATAAAAAATTTGGCCTATGTGTATATCAGATTCTGAGGTGCTATAATCAACTTGGGATACAATCCATATTTTTTTATTAAAAATTTTTTAGTGTTTATTATTTTTTTTTGAGAGAGAGAGACAGAGAATGAGTAAGTGGGGGAGGGGCAGGGAGAGAGGGAGACACAAAATCTGAAGCAGGCTCCAGGCTCTGAGCTGTCAGCACAGAGCCCGATGCTGGTCTCAAAACCATGAACCGTGAGATCATGACCTGAGCTGAAGTTGGATGCTTAACCGACCGAGCCACCCAGGCGCCCCGAGATACAATCCATATTGGAGGGCAGCTGCCAGATTAGAACAGCAGGGATTTTATGCAGCTATATAAAATCACTTGGTAAAATGGTTAGGACAGGAAAGAGAAGATGCTCAGCCTCTGGAATAAAATAATAATGATATAATAAAAACCAAACCATTTATCAGAAACTGATAAATATTTATTCAATGAATGCATGAATATAAATCAGCAAAAATGAGAGTGATCACTTTTGGATCTGACCTACTTTTTTGTGGCTTATTTTGGTATTGTATTTTATAGCACCTGCATTTTTTAAATGACAGAGTTGTCAGATTTAATATACAAACTCTATGCCAGTGGTAAATTGAGGAGCTAAATGATTATCTAAATAAGAATCCATGAAATAACATTTGAGATCCAATAGTTTAGATAAAAGTGGACTTAAAAAAAAGAGTCATATACTCATTCATCTAATTAACTGAGCATTTACTATGTTCCAAGTACTATGTAGGGCACTGAGGAAACAGTGGTGAACAAAACAGACATCGCTCCTATCATGGAATTCACACTTTGATGAAGAGATTAATCACTAAACACAAAGTCACTCAGATAAAAAAAATAAATCAGAAGGGTTTTAAAGGAAAACTTTAATACATTATGGGCACTTTTAACAGACACCATACTTAAACCTGTAGGTTCCAAAGGCTTCTTTAAGGACATGACATACAAGCTGGGACTTGAAGAATAAGTATAGTAAGGAAGAAGAGGCAGAAATGGTGTGGATAGTATCCTGGGTCAACAGATTCACACCTTACTGACATTGATAACATTTTATACACATTTACAGGATATTCACAGAATGAAATCCAGCCAGTAACCAAATTAGTATCCTTATTCTTTGCACAAGATTATATATTTCTGATTAGTTCTATGAAAAGATTTACTACTTTTTGACGACTTGAATTTTATAATAATATTATCCAACTTCCTTTACCCACTCTTCCACAGTTACCAGAAACCACCACGTACAAATATGTGCTTAAGTAAAATTATTACCTTTGGCGATTCATTGTAAGTTTTTCTGAAAAGTGCAAGGACTAAAAAGAAGGGATTCCATACACTTTTTAGTAAATTGGGTAATATAAATGTTACATGTATGATCCATAATAACAATTTCTTCAAACTCCTAACATGACTATTACTATCGTGTGCTTGCCTTACACTTTAATCTCTCCATGAGTTGCCTTTCCTTAAATCCAATTTAAAAACTGGTACAGGACTTCATTACTTACAATTCAAGTGTGAAAATCGTGGACTAGACAGGAAGTGACCGCGATCAGGCCAAGACGGGGAGTGGTCTAACCTACGAGCATGGGAACTCTCAGCAAAGATTCCGTCATCCTAAAACAAAGTCAGTTCAATGATTACAAAATGTAAGGATTGGGATTCATTTAAATATACCGAAAATGAAACTGAACGTCAATATACAAGCTATGTTACACAACAATTTAATTGTAAAAAAAATATGTGCATGTTAAAGAAAATATGAAAGCATTAAAAAAGAGACAGAAGGAAATCACCCATGGCTGTACCAGCATGACATATTTCTTTCCAGTCTTTTTTTCCTGTGGATAGGATTTATACATGTTCTAAAACTGTGTTCTTCATTTATTTACATTAATACTCTAAGCACTTTTGAAGTCTGTATATTATCCTAACCTTTAGCTTGTGTTACTCATTTACTATCGAGTGGATAAACTATGCTTTCCTCAGCTATTACTTTATTCGGCATTTAGGTGGTTTCCAATGTTTTACTCCTATAAATAACACTGTGAGAATATCTTTAAATATATAACCTTTTCTATGTTTAGGACTATTCCTTATGACAAATTCTTAGGTGGAAATACTGGGTCAATAAAAACAATTTGATGTTTTTAAATACACTTAGCTACACTGCATTCCATAATGATTACACTAATTCCCTTACTCATTCAACAAATATTTAATACATAAACTATGTGAATAGAGAATAAGGCCCTCTCCTCATGGACTGTATGAATGTGTCCTTGTACCCAAATCTTAGCTGAAAATGGGAATGAATTTTAACTTCAAGTAATTTATTAATTAGATTAAAAACAGATACTTTAATGTATTTTTTTATAATAGTGAAATTGCAATTGTTTTCTCTTGAATGTGTTCTAACCACTTACACGACACTTTGCTTTTTTCCTTCCCCCCCCCCTCATTCATTCATGCAACAATAATTTATTGGGTACTTAGTATGCACTGGTCAAAGAGCAACAAAATATTGAGGTATGCAGTTATGAAACCTTCAGGCTTGCAGAAGAGAAAGGTGCCAAATAAACTACACAGAATATAACATAATGAAGAATTATGGTGAGTACTGTAAGAAGAACAGGAAATAATTAAATTTAGATTAGAGGTCCAGAGGAGGCCTCCTTGGGAGGTGATATTTAAAGCAATATTTGAATGTTGAGTATGAGTCGGCCAGGCAGAAACTTATGAGTGGAGGATGAGGAAGTGGGAGGGAAGGGGCGCAGGAGATGGTGGTCTGGGGCTGATGTACCAGCCTTGTGTGAAGGTGCAGAAGTGAGAAAGTTTAGTGTGTTTGAAGAATTGTATGAAGGCCCATGACTTCCACACAATGAACTGGGAGGGGGGGGGAAGTGAATACAGTGATATCCAGAGGTGGGATCTGGATCTGGGATTTCTTTTTCTTAAGTACCATTACACAGCAATCAAAGGTTTAAAATCAAAGGTTTTAGATGTATATTTCTCAAAGATACTCTGGTCACCATGTGGAGAACAGATTGGAATGGCGTAAGTATTGAAATGGGAAGACCAGTGAAAACACTGTAATTGAGGATAACTGTGGGATCAAGGGCGAAGAAGGGATCATGAATGCTGCCAGAGTCTAGGTGGTCCACATAGATCCCTCAAAACATGGACCCACAGAATAGGGCCTCATGCCACAGGACTATTTGATGAATTAGTTATAATTTTCTGTATCAGGTACCAAGTTAAGAATTAGTTATAATTTTCTGTATCAGGTACCAAGTTAACATTTTATTTGTCACATACGTATGTATGCAAATCCAAAAGAAAAGCCCAAACAAACGATTTTATATAGAATCGTAAAAGGCCCATTTATTCTGAGCTAAAAGCATGGACATAATCCTTAGATGATTCAAGATAATTAGCCTCATGTACCAAAAGGAAGTTTAGGTCTATTTCAGATCAAGGCCCTGAGGTTTTTTAACCAAGTGACTTATGGTTTTTACTAATTATGGGGATTTCATAAAAAACTAAAAATCATTCACTATAGGATCTCTGGAAAGAAAAGGATATACATTGTGTCCCCAGTGTATTTCAATAGCTACTTATATGAGCTGACACAGGACAACAGAGCTAGCTTATCACAGTTCAGACATGAAATACTTAAGGCCTGGGTGGAGCTGGAAGATGCACAAATGAAAAGGAGAGTTACGTTCTCAACCAGTGCTAGAAATCTCCATTTAATTATGGCTTCTATATGAAAAGCATGAAGGAGAAAAGCATAATAAATGGCTTCCCACTAACAGAGGCTTTGATCATTATGGGCCAATAAGAAAAAGAAAAAATAAGGGAAGCAAATGTACTTTTTGCCCATTGATACCTGGGCTGAAAAAGTGAGAGAAGAGGAGCGGAGTTGCAGGTTTGGGCGCCTTGCTGAATGAAACATAGTGCAAAGACAGCCTCAAGATGAGCCTACCAGAGGAAGGATAAAGCACTCAAAGACATTCAAATCCTTTTCATTCTTCCCAAAAGGCACTGTTTTAAATTTCTAAAACAAAAGCAACTAGCATCAAAGTGTGAGTTATATTTTTTCTATTTACAGAAAAAGAATAATTTACATTTCAATTATAAATAAACCAGCTTATTGACATATGACAATTAAAATATGTCACTGACATATTTCATTCTTAGCAAATTTGGAAAATACAGAAGAAATTGAGAAGAAAATAATGCAATAAATTTAAAAATAGCCTTTTAGCCTAATGTAAAGGTATGTTTTCTGGTTCTTCTTTATAAATACCTTTTTATATTGGGATTCTATATTTGTTGACAATTTTGTTTCCTAGTTTTTCATGTAACATTAGATACAGGAATTTCTTCTACCATTGTCATTATCATCATTATGGTTATAACATAGTCTATTTGAGTAATGTCCCATTGTTGGAAATGTGAGTCTGATTTCCGTTGTTGTTTTTTTTTTTTTTTCCTATCATAATTTGATAAACATCTTGGTGAATAAAGCTTGGTCCACATTTTAAATTTATTAACATAGATTTCTAGAAGTAGAATTATGAGGTGACACATTTTAAGGGTGTTTTTTAATATCCATTTATTTATTTATTTAAAAAAAATTTTTTTTAACCTTTATTTATTTTTGAGACAGAGGGAGACAGAGCATGAATGGGGGAGGGTCAGAGAGAGGGAGACACAGAATCTGAAACAGGCTCCAGGCTCTGAGCGGTCAGCACAGAGCCCGACGGGGGCTCGAACTCACAGACTGCGAGATCAGGACCTGAGCCGAAGTCGGACGCTTAACCGACTGAGCCACCCAGGCGCCCCTTTTAATATCCATTTAATCTAAGTCGTGAAATTTATTGTCAGTATGCTAATTTTCCTAATATTTCCTAAATGCCCTCTTAGTGTCTATGGGAGTTCTAGTAATATCCCTCATTCAGTCTTAATATTGGCATTTGTGCCTTTTCTTTTTCCTAATTGAGCTGGGTAGAGGTTTTTAAAATTTTTTGATCTTTTCAAAAAATCCTGTTTAATTTTCATGCCCCTCCCTCATTTTTCTGCTATTTCATTGATTTCTGCTCTTTATTATTCCCTTCCTTTTAATTTAGGTTTGTTATTTGTTTTCTAGTTTCATAAAGTGGAAACATGGACTATTGATTTGAGACTTTTCTTCTTTGCAACATACACATTTAATGTCATAATTTTCTCTCCAAGCAGTATTTTAACTGAGTCCTACAAATCTTGATAAATTGTACTTTTATTTTTATAGAGTTAAAATATTTCCTCATTTTCCTTTTGATCCCCCAATGGTTATTTAGAAATATGTTGTTCATTTTTCCTCTAGGAATTTTCCAGATATCTTCCTGTTATTGATTTCTAGCTTCATACCATTGTGGTTAGATGACCATACTTCACATAATTCCAATCATTTTAAATTTATTGAGAATTGTTTTATTGCTCAGAATAGTCGATTTTGGAGAATGCTAGATGTGCACTTGAAAATTACATGTAATTAGCTGTTGTTAGGTGGAGTATCCTATAAATGTTAGTTAAATCTAGTAGCCTGATAGTGTTGCTCAAGTTTTCAATATATTTACTGATTTTCTGCCTACTGGTTTATCAATTACTGAGAGGGATGTTGAAGTCTTCAACTACTATAATTGTGGATCTATTTTTTCCTTGTAATTCTATCAATTTTTACTTCATATATTTTGACACCATGTTAATAGGTATGTACAATTTATGACTAATACCCCTTTCCATTTAAAATTGTTGACTTTTTCAACTACTCACATTCCTTTTCATATACAGAAAATGAGGAAGCTTAACTCTAATACATCTTTAAGTTGCAACATTTTATAGGTCTTCAAAAGACTGTCAGAATCCCTCATTAGCTTGAAATATAACTAATGAAATGTACCCTAAAAGAACACCCCCAAAGAAAAATATTTCACAATCCCTTTGAACAATCAACATGCTAGAATATGAAAAAAAAAAACAAAAAACCTTCCATATTCTCCAATTTTATACTGATATTTAATTTGTGGAATTTCTATACAACTAAATTTGACAAGGTAACCTAAGATTTCTTTTTTAATTCTTACCTTTCAATCAAATACTTAAATATTTAAATGGAAATACTGGTTAAAAAGGAAGATTCTTTGCAATTTTAGGAATTCTAGCTCTTGCTTTTTTACCAATTCTTATATCCTTAGTACAAGGACCTATTTTTATTGCTGTCTTAAGTCTCAACAAGCTAGTTAGCCAGAATTCCCTGCAAAAATTCCACTGGGTGAAGGGACTTGCATTTTCTAATATTTTCCCTGGGTTTCTTCCACTTCTCTTTCATAACCCACATTGTAATTGGTTTCTTAAAAGCGGTTCCAACCTGACTAAATCTCTTTGCTAAACTGATCTCTAATGATTAATATTTAATGACGCCCACCAAGTATTTTTCTCCCAGGAATATTATAAGTTCAAAGTTTAGAAGACAGATGATACATTTAATTTTTTTTTTAATTTTAATTTATCCAACCCTTCCCCTGGAGAGAAGGGGGAAAAAAAAAAAGTGGGGCAATGTGCAAATTTGT